CTGGAGAGAAACCCTATGAATGTCATCAGTGTGGTAAAGCCTTTGCAAAACACATTCATCTTCAAAATCATGAAAGAACCCATACTGGAGAGAAACCCTAGTCTAGTAGTCTAATTTAGTAGACATTCCTCCACTTTCCAAGAGCGTATCCTGTTCCTCATCCAAAGCACAGGGTCCTTTGTGTGAACATTGCATTACAAACTCAATGTGTATTTTTTTCTAAATATTTTTCTAAATATTTATCTTAAATATTGTTCACATTCTTGATTGTTATAGCTTTGTTGTTTTTTTTGAGTTTTGGGTTTCTCTGGCTTTGAACGCACAATGATCTACCTGTGTCTGCCTCCCAAGTGCTGGGATTAAAGATGTGTACCACCACTTTCCAGCAAGAAGTCATATTATGTCAATATGTGTACTATTTTTTCTTATTCTCATTGATCACTCCGAGTATTTCCACTATGAATATAGCTTTGTAATCAGCTTTTATGTTATAAATTGTTGGACATTGTCATTGAATTGTATTCATTTTATGCTGCAAATTTACTATACACAGCACCTTAGTTTTGAGGCATCATGTTCCCAAGAATTAATTATTTGCTTCTTTATTTACTTAGGTTCTATTTTTCTTGTTCCTGTTAATCTGTGAAAGACTTTTGATTTATTGTCTAAAATGTCTTTGTAGGTGGTTCCTCATGTATTCTGATTTCAGATATCAACACTCAAGTTTAGAGGCTCATAAAATCTGGAATATCTACTATTCCAGATCCTGTATACATATATAGAACATTCATTCTCATGTTCAAAGATTTGCAAAAAATAGCAATAAACTTGTTTTAAAAGTGCTTTTTCCCAGGAGGTGGTGGTGCATGCCTTTAATTCTAGCATTCAGGAGGCAGTGGCAGGCAGACCTTGAGTTCAAGACCAGCCTGGTCTACCAGGTAGTTCCAGGATAGGCTCCAAAGCTACAGAGAAACGCTTTCTCAAAAAACAAAAAGAAAAATTGCTTGTGAATTACAAAACAATTATAAATTGAGTTGCTTTAGGTATATACTGATTCTTTAAAAGTCTGTTATTTTATTTTGTTTTAAAATGTTTTTATTTCCTCACTTTGAAATAGACTTATTGGCAATCATAAGTCAAAGTGAAGTGTCCAAGAATAAGAATATAAAAGTGTAGGTTCCAGAAATTGAAATGTAGAAATAAAGAAATATAAAATTGTAAGTCTAAAATAATGAGAACAGACTCTCTGCAGCTTTCTCTATAGCTTAAGATGATATGAGAGTCCCCTCTGTATGCTGTGAATACCATTGGTTAATAACTAATATGTTTCAGGTAGTAGCTTTGCAGAGTAGTAGAGCCAGGCAGTAAATCAAGCTTAATGTTGGCAAAAAGAAGACAGAGTCAAAAAGAAGCCAGTCAGTGACAGATGCTGGAACTTTACAAAAAACATCTTGTGTCAATATGCAGATTAATGGAGATGGGTTAATTTATGATATGAGCTAGCTAGGAACATGCTTAAGCTATTGGACAAACGGCATTACAAATAATGGTAATAATGGTTTCTGTGTGATTATTTCAGGTCTGAGCAGTTTCATATTTCCACAAATACCCAAGTTTCCTTTATATTTTCTTGTTTGTTATTTAGCTCAGCTTAGATGTCAGTAATGATTCAGGGATACATTTGAACTCATGATCCTCATGTGTCCACTTCTTGAGTACAAGTCTAATGGTAGATGATATACACCAAACATTTGCTATTTTGTTAACACAATTTAACAACATTAATGTTAAAGGGCTTAATAAAAGAGAATATAGGAAACATTAATGACCTCATGTGTATATTCAAGGCAGCATTTTCATTTCTCTGGTAGAGATGTAAAAAAGTAGGATAACCAACATTTAATTGTGTATCTCACACCATAGCTTGATGTTATTTGTATGTGTTTATGTGTGTGTGTATACATACACACTCATAAATCTTGATGTTGCATACTTCTCCCTGTCCACATAGTTAACCATTTGGTATTTCCTCTTGAAGAACTGTCTCCTAAGGTGTAGTGAGGGGCTGCGGGCAGGCCTTCTTTTCACCTCACCCGGCTCCCGCATGGCTAGCTTAGTCCCAGAAATAACAACACACAAATTGTATTCATTTAAGCACTGCCTGGCCCATTATCTCTAGAGAGTTAGTTACTAACTAACTCTCATATCTTGATATTAACCCATTTCTAATAATCTGTGTAGCACCACGAGATGGTGACTTACCGGAAAAGATTCAGCATGTCTGACCTGGTGGCTGGCTCCATGGCGTCTGCCTCATAGCCCTCTTCCCAGCATTCTGTTCTGTTTACTCCACCTACCTAATTTTCTGTCCTATCAAGGGGCCAAGGCAGTCTCTTTATTGACCAATGAAAATAACACAAGAGACAGATAACCCTCCTTCATCACTAAGGAAAGTATTCAGAGAAGCCAGATGATGTAATGGTGTTCCATGCGGATCTGCACTCCCGCCTCCTGATGCGGATCGCCTTTCGCACCTTTCCATGAGCTTGGGGAAAGGTGCAAAAGCTTGGGGTTAGGGTCAGGGTCAGGGTCAGGGGTCAAGGGTCAGGGTCAGGGTAGGGGTTAGGGGTCAGGGTCAGGGTTAGGGTCAGGGTCAGGGTCAGGGTCAGAGTCAGGGGTTAGGGACAGGGTCAGGGTCAGGGTCAGGGTCAGGGGTTAGGGGTTAGGGGTCG